CTTCCGGCTGATCCAAACACTGCCCAGGGCTGGCAGCGCAGCAGCCTGCCTGACCTCTTGCTGTCTAATTCAAAGCAGCCCATTGGCAACACATCCCAACACACGCTTATCACCTCCCTCCCCCTGAGCCCTCTTCCCTTGTGACCACAGAGCTGAAGGGCAGAGGATGGAAACAAGCAAGAGGATGTAGTTGGTCATGCTCTTCATTCCCACTAAAGCAGGGAGTAAAGCCAAACTCTGTGTGTGCATCCCCAGAAATGTAGTTCCCAGAGGGTGCCAGGAATGAACTCTTTGATTCAATATACAGTCCTCAGGGATGTTTGCTCAACATCAACTCATGGAGAGGGGAGAAAAGGCACACAGCACTTCTCTCTCCCTGTGCCCAAGCTCACATCCCACCCCCAGACACTCACTAACACAGAGATAGGCTCTTGCATGCACTTAACACCCACCCAGGCTACGCAAACTACCCTGTGCTTACTCACAAACAGCTCTTACATACTTGGGTGTGATGTACTAACTCTCCAGCACACCCTCCGCAGTGCCAAGTCTCCCATGGCACACACTCCCACAGATGCATGCACACTCCACTAAAAGCAGCAGAAAGAAAATGCTGAGAGTGAGGTTAGATGTGCCTGTCTAGAATGTGGTACATGGGATGCACATACCTCTGCCATCAGCTGTTATTCCAATGCCACTGCTGCAGAGCGCCTGGAATTCAGCTGTGTGGAAAGCACAACAGAGCTGTTAGCTTTTCTAGACAGTTCACACAAAGTGACATTAACTCTGGGTAATGTTGGATTTATTGCTTGGTTGAATGTCATCTATGGGCTTCCAAGCAGTGTCTGTTTATACTTATACAATGTGCACTTTAGAGCTGGTACTCACAGTTAGTAATCCAACACTGTGAGAAGCCCTGCAATGAAATCAGCTTCAGATTTGTAGATCCAACCTCAATTGGTTAACTGCATGGCATTCCTTTCCCACTGCCTATGGCTTTCCCATGTCCCTGCCAAGCTGTCAAGGCCATTTCTGGGACCTGCAATGTCTCTAAGCACCTCCTAGGCTCTTTGCAAACTCAGATGGAAGAGGAGCTCACCAGAGTTCTTGGCCGGACAGGGCTGGCAGGGCTCTCCGAAGCCATGGTCTGGGTTAGCACAGCAGCACTCAGACTTGGTGACTGCTCCTGGGAAGGGACGAGCACATGTGCCCTTTTTAATGCCTCCGTAACACGTGCTGCGCATGTGGGTGTCCACACAGACTCGTCCATCCACACCGATGGCCAGGCCCCCGAGGCACTCGCAGCGGAAGGAGCCCTCTGTGTTAATGCACCAGCCATTCATACAGATCCCTGGTGTCTCACACTCGTCGATGTCTGAAAGAGGAAGGAGCAACTGGCTGGTACTTACCCACAGGCAGAAGGACACACTGACAGGAGCTTTGCACTCTTTTGCAGGGTGACTCGGACGCTAAAAGGGAGCCAGAGGTGCAGTTAGAGCATCACATCCCCTGTGTGCTCTGCTGACTCTCCCTGCTGGTTCAAGGGAAGGAACAGGAATCTTCAGTCTCCTGAGACCCAGCCCATTGTCCAAGGAGCAGGGTCTGGTCTCTGCTCTCTTAAGAGGTCAGTGACCCAGACAATTCACCCCACGTCACAGCAGCATATCAAAGAAATGTTCTCCTCCTCCTCCTTTCTCCACTCCGCTTTCACATTCTAACCTTCCTGGTTTTGGAAGGTGGCACACAAACCGCAGTGGAACAGACTGCAGAGGCTGGGGAAGCTGTGGAGATGACTGCTGCCAGCTCACATTGGCCATATGAAGCTTCACAGCCCTGCTTTACCTCCTTCAGAAAGAGGACTGAAGCTCCAATTTGTGCTGAAGTAGTGGAGGTGCAAGAACATTTCCCCCTGTGCCCGTTCTGCTGTGAGGGGGTCATTTCTGGTGGCAGAGCAGGAGATGCCTGGCAACAGCCTTGGTTTTCCTCAGCTCCCTCTTGCCTCAGACACATCACAAGCCTCCGGGAATGTGGGCAGCAGGCTGGGAAGAGGACAGGGACCAAGGCTGGGGACCTACGCACCTACACAGTACCGCCCGTTGGGAGCCAGCACAAAACCAGGCTTGCAGATGCACTTGAAGCTGCCATCCTCATTGATACACATCCCATTGAGGCACATGTTGGTCGTGGCGCATTCATCATGATCTGGGAAGGACAAACACAAACCATGAGTTGAGCCCGAGAGCTGCCACAAGACTCTCCTGTGCTCAAAAACATTCTGGCTCCCATGTCATGGGCAGATTGCTTCTTATGGCAGTGGGTGCTAATCTTCAAGGCAGAGTTCCCACTGTTGCTCCTGGTGAGAGCTGTCCTGCTGCATCCCTGCTGCTCTCAGTATCCTGGTCAGCCAGTGCAGCTCACAGCAGGACTCAGACACTGGCTGCTGGAGAATGTCCTCCTTCCAGACCCAGCCCTGCTCATATTTCTGGACCCCAAAACCTACAGGAGCACTCCAGGAGCACTAGCACCCTTATAAAAACACCTTCCTATTTCAGTCCTCTCATTTTAAGATGCACTCTGCCCTAGAGATGAAGGGAATACAGCAGAGATTAAAGTAACCACTAATCCCTATAGTCTCAGCTCAGTCCCAAGTGCATCAGGAGATAACTTACCAACACAGTTCTTGCCATCAGGGGTGATTTCAAAGCCAGCATTGCAGATACACTGGAAGCTTCCATCAGTGTTAACACAGCGGCCGTTCCTACACATCACTCCATTCATGATGCACTCATCGATATCTGCCAGGGAAATAAACACAAGAAAGTTGCAGCAGGTGGAGTGAGAAGCAGTTCAGCTTAGGATCAAAGAATCATAGAATGCTTTGGGTTGGAAAGGGCCTTAAGATTATCCAGTTCCAAGCCCCTGCCATGGGCAGGGATGCCTCACACAAGACCATGTCAACCAAGGCTCTGTCAGCCACCCTCACAGGGAAGAACTGCTTCCTTATATCTAGCCTGAACTTCCTCTGTTTCAGTTTGAACCCATCACCCCTTGTCCTATTGCTACAGTCCCTGATGAAGAGTCCCTCTGCAGCATCCTTGTAGCCCCCTTCAGATACTGGAAGCTGCTCTGAGGTCACCAAGCAGCCTTCAATATGCTTAATATGCGCCATGAGAACAACAGGCAAGTGCTCTCACTCAGAGCACACTACAGGAGGTGGATAAGGTGTGGAAAAAGCTTTCAGCATGCTTGGGAAGCAGCATGACACTTGCGAGGTCAGAACTCTGGGATCTCAGACCCTCCATGATGTCTTTGCCAGTCTCCTCTCCAGGGGTTCTCTTTACAACTCAAACCATCCTCAGGCTGTTCAAGTCCACGGGAAACAGCAAAAGCCCTCAAACCAACAGCCTGCCGCAAAGAGGTGGTCACAGAGCCTCAGCAGAACAAGTTCCAAGACAGAAGTTGGGGTACAACATGACTGAAGCATGGCAGCAGGGGAGGTGCTGTGTCAGGAGCATGGTGTCCACTTGCTCTGGGACACAGGCCACTGAATGCCTCTGGGTAAAGATGAAAGAAGAAAGGACCAGCTGAGGTAGGGTTGTTACTGACCCTTTGTCAAGAGCTGGGGAAAACAGGAGGAGCTATTTTCTGAGCAAATTACAGAGAACCAACAGTCTGGA